ATCTTTTCGATTTCACTGGAGAGCTCTGCATTCCTCTTGTTGACAGCATCCAACTCAGCTCTGGTGTCCAACAAAACCGCCAGTATGGTCCGAACGTGAAGCGGGATTGAGTCGTCCTTTGTGAGTTGCTCCGCAGCCAAAGCAAAGTCCCCAGTGGGCGACGAGTCAACGTTTAACCGCCTCTTTTTAAAGCCATCTAGTGAGCGTCTAGGTAGAACTGGTGTGTCACGTGGCATAACGGGTCCGATAGAACAATTAGCAGTAATAGAGTTTAGCGAATACTAGAATAGTAGTAATCAGGAATATCCTTAGAATAACTAAATCGATAAAAACAGAAGAATACAGCGGTCTGACAGTCTGTCTGTCTTGTAATGTCTGTCTGTCTCTGTGTAATCTGTCTTCAGCTTTTGCGAATTATACATTATTTAAATTAGAGTGATACAAATACTAATCTTTCTACAGACACACATTCGACTAGTATAGGGGCTTAACCTATGTTTGAAACTACTGTTTTATTATTTGACAAAAGTCGCTTGCCTCAGGAAAGGTTCTTTGAATTCGCCATTTCAAAGAATTTTGAATAGATATATTTCGCGACAGCGGCTTAAGAAGGAATTCAAACTGACCCATGAGTAGCTAGCTGTCCTGGAAGGGACTAGCAGTACTCTCCAGATCACTGATCTGGTTCCGCTGAAGACAATCTCCTTTCCTGAATTCGACGCGAACGTCGTAATATTGGTTGATTTGCTTTGTTCACTGCTTCCTTTTCCTTGGATAAAGGTGTTGGTTGTTGGTTTTGCGAGGAACCAGTGACCAATGCAGATCTTGTAGCATATAATTTCAGTCGATTAACATGTACAATCTGTCGCGTGGGGCGACCCACTATGTTAGTAATGGTAATGTTAGGTCGGTTGACTTCCTCAACCTTGTAAGGGCCTTTCCACTGGTTTGTTAATTTAGGACGAACGGTGTCGTCGTGTAAGAGTACAAGATCTCCGGTGGAAATGTCCTTCTTGTTTACCTTGTGAAGTAGATCGTATCCCACTTTGTACTGCGCAGATTTTCTTGCTAGTTCGGATCCGACTTCCATTATTGTTTCTTTCAGGCCGACGGCGAAGTGATCGGCCACATCATCCGGTGCTACGGGAAGACGCGTTGGCAATTCGTGGAGGATGTCACTCCACGTAATGGGATATCTACCATATACGATAAAGAACGGACTATAGCCTGTCGTCAGATTTTTACTGCAGTTGTAGGCAAATACAATAGGTTGTAAAAAGGTCGACCAAACTTGCCTAGCCTCTGAACAGTAGGCTGTTAGAGAGTCCGTTATCACTTTAACCATTCGCTCTGCCTGTCCGTTGGCTTTGTGATTATAGCTGGTAGTGAATTTGTTCGTGATGCCAAGTGTTTTGTTGATCTTGGAGAAACATTTCGCTAGTGTAATTTGACCCACGGTCAGAAACTAGCTCTTTTGGGATGCCATGTTTGGAAATGACATCGTCGATTAGGGCTTTAATTACTGATTCCGTAGTTTGATTTACAAGTGGGGTACAAATTACAAACTTGCTGAAAGCACAAACTGATATTGAAATGAAAAAGCCAATCACTTACCCTCAAAGTGCGTTTATAACGTTCCTCCGCGTTCTTTACTTCTTCCTCTGCGCTCGCAAACTCCTCGGCCATCTTGTCCCGATGTTCCCGCTGCTCCCTCGCGAGGACACGACACGCTTGACCTGAAGCAGTTGGCACAGCAGGGAATCCATCGGCTGGCTCGTTGTTTGGATCACACTGGATCCATACTCCGATCCATATTTCCATAGATGTCACCATGATTCTGAAAAGAAGACGAATGCGTGGCGCTTTCCTTCAAGGCCTTGCGTTGCCTCGAGCACTTCGAGTTGTCCTTCCAAAGTTTTTAGATGGAAAAATTGGTCAATGCAGTGAAGGGCCCCTGCACTGGAGAGGATCAGACGAAGCAAACTCAGAAACCTAAATCCGCCACGAGACGTTTTCGAGGTAGTCAACCTAGTGTATCAATATAGTGCTTTCTGAAAAGAGAGAGCCTTTTAGTTTTTGAATTGGCGTTAGTCACCACTCTACATGATGTTTATACGAAGTTGTATACATTCGGTTAACCACCCACATTTGCAAAAAAATATTTCAAAAATTATTTTTGAACAGAAGCTGTCACGCAAGCTATGTGATTGTTGTGCCCAATTTCGTGTAGACCCTTCCTAGCGATCACGAATCCCACCTGCCGCTTTCCAAGAGACCATTTATCAACAGATGATGTTTTGCTTATTTCATTTCAGGAAGAACTAGTAGAAGTCTAGTGGGCCGTGGTTCCGTGTTGCCTCTCCTCTGTGAGGTCGATCGGTTACACGGCTTCTGTCAACCAAGCATCCTCTCCCTGGAGGATCCTGAGATCCCATCGCTTTTACTGGTCGAGCATTCGAAGAGAGAAGGAAAAGCAAGAGTAGGAGAGAAGGAAAAAGAAGGAAGGAGAAGAAAAAAGGGAAGAGGGAGCTTCGCGGTTGAACAAGTATCCCGAGACGAAGCTAGTGATGCAATAGTGTGTAGTTGGCGCGCTCCAGTCGTACGTCGCCGCGCAGCCGCAGGAAAATATTACTAAATGAAGTTATTTCGTTTTTCGAATTCGATAGGTTGAATCACCTTAGCTTCATTTCCGCTGTGGCCGTGGCAGTTACCAACGATGTCCGAAGATCCAAAGGTCCAAGAATTCACTCTCAAGGAGGATCACGAGCTTAGGTTTGAGGTCAGCTCTTTTTTGGATGCTTTTGGTTTTATTTCATTTCCGTTAGCTTAGTAGGACTATGTTTTACACTGATTTATTTCGTTGATTCTGAACTTTGTTTCGCATGGCGAACTGAGTGAACAAGTCTTGCTCAAATCCGTTCTTGCGGGTGAAGATAAGTAGGAGTTCCGAAAACTGCTAAAACCTTTACCTACGACGGAACACATATTGTGGTGTGCAATCAATAGATAAAAGAGGATTGGTGATTTTCACGTCTTTTTGTTTTCCGTGGTATTATCCTGTTTCCAGGTCGGCAACACGGAAGTGGTGCTTGAGCTTCTCCAAGGAAGAGCTGAGGTATTTGGTACTGAGCTGGAAATGCACAAGAAATACGCATTCCCTCCCAGTAAGTTCATATTACCTGACTTGTAGTAAGTTGTCTTAGAGGGGCAAAATACTGAACTTCGTCTTAGGGGCCATGCTCTCATATTATCTATTGGGTGGAAAAGCCTGTTAAAAAGCAGTTGGGCATTCTTTTCTTGATGGGATTATCTTGGGTTGTTGGGTTCATAAAATGTTGCTTGAAGTCCTTTTTTATTCCACTCTAGATACACGAGTTGCTGTATTCAGCTGGAAAGGAGCGACTGTTGAGTTGATTGGTCCCACCAACAGTGCCTATGTCGCTGAACACACTCCCATGGTAAGACTTTTAGTTATCGTTCTTTTTCAAATGCCACCTTATCTGAAACATCTAGGTGATCTACTTGAACACACACGCGGCACTCGAACAGTTGAGGCAACATTCAGAGGAGCAGGTGGCCGTGGATGGTACGGAAAACCCGAAAGGTCCACGCATAATGCTGGGTAAAGTCATCTTGGCTCGAAATATGTGTTTTTTTTCACAATTCTCTTTTTCTTGCGATTCACTCAAGCTGCGTCCATACTTTCAGTCAGCGTATGGCAGCGTTTCGAGCGGCTAGGAGATCTAGCTGTGGGTGTCTAGCTTACGCCAACGGACAGCTTGAGCTTGAGAACATTGTCCCATAAACGGTGGCAGCTTTCCTAGTCACTTGAAACGCTGGCGTGCGCTAGCTCTACCTTACGCTGACGCAGAGTATGAACGCAGCCTCAGAAGACTTGAGTTCAGTTTCTTAGAACTTTGTGACTAGCAACTGCTACTTCCCTTTATCAGTAGGTCCTGAGAGAGCGCCATTTTCACAGTAGTGCAGTAGTTGCTACACTAGTCAGCTAGCGTTGGAGGGGGAGAAGTAGTCTATTGATTCCTGCCAAGGGTTTGGGCTATCTTGTAATATAAACTTTTGTAAAGTACTCGAACTTGCATAACGAGAATACATTTGTTTCTTTTGATAAATATATATCTCCATAAGCAAAGTAATTTTGAAAACTTTGAGGAGTATGACGACTTTGAAGTTTTCTGCGCAAAAACTAGTTCACTCATCCCGGGACTCTTTTATTCTAGGCTTTGTGTTCTCATGGTCTGATTTACAAGTTACAGTTACTTCTTTTACCACCTTTCTCCGGTAAACGTAGTGCTACACGAAAAGCAGAGGAGTGGCTTGGGATAAAGGTCGTACATTCTCGTGACTTTATCAGTGTTCGCAGGTCATCGAATTAACTGTCTACCTCTCCCCGTGGCTCTCTTGCGCAATATATAATCGAAAGTAATCAACTACAAAAGGGGGCGCAGCTCGGCTTGGTCGCAGTAACGAATAGTCCTCAGCCAAACTTATTTAGGCCAACTTGTGAACACTTGTGATTCTGTGACCATAGTGGTTCACTCCATCTCGCAGCTCTTCAGTAATTTATATGTCTCGCCAAGGTGAGGCTGTCACTTAGCATGAACTAACAAGCGATACTAGCGAGAGTGCAAAATGCTCCGACCAGCTCCCCCAAAATGTTTGAGCTTTGTTGTATGCGATGGTAATTTACTACTGTGAATTTTGCGTTATGAAACTACGGGCCGACGGCATGCACATCCTGCTTGGAAAAATAGCGTTAATTATGATCGCTTACCAAAATGTTGAGGCCCTAGGTCGACAGATTTTTAATATTTTAATCTATCGTGCTATTCTTAGTTGGACCTACTGACGTGGGTAAAACAACAGTATGCCGCATATTGTGTAATTACGCAGTACGACAAGGTAGATCTCCAGTATTCATCGACCTCGACGTCGGCCAGGTAGTTTTGTAAGGTTACATACATAATGCATCTGTTTATTTGCATCTGTCTATACTTTTAGGGCAGTATTTCTGTCCCAGGAACAATTGGTGCCCTTTTTATTAACAAAACTGCGGATGTCGTTGAAGGATTCGACCGATCAAAGCCGTTGGTTTACAATGTTTGTCTTCAAAATATATGACGATCTGTTGTTTTAATAGCTGAGTTCGTTCTAAATCACATTTAATTTGCAGTTTGGCCACATATCTCCGGGAGAAAATTTACCGCTGTATGACATATTGGTAAAGGAACTGGCCGATTCTGTGACCGCCCGTTGTGCAACACACCCGGAAGCAAATTTGGGAGGACTTGTCATTAACACCTGTGGATGGGTAACTGGAGAAGGGTAAGTTACCTACACTTACTTCATGTGTTTTACGTAATTCGGTCAACCTTTGTTTCGTATAATATTTTCTCTAAATATTTTCGGCATTACTGAGATATTACTTCTCCAAAATCTCTAGAAAACAAAAAAAAAACCCAAAATGGCTCATGGGGTTATCCTGTACTCTGCAGACGAATATTAACGCCGTTCGCTCCACCACCTTTCTCACCAATTTCGATGAAGCTTTGTATACGAGGGTTATTTGACACGCTGATCAAAAGTAAGACATCCATTCTTTACGCGATGCTAATATTGGGCAGTAAGGTGTTCTGCCCTCTGCTAAGGCTGAGCCCAGCAGGAAGGGAATTAGACACTGTCCTGGGCTTTAGCAGAGCGCTGTATTGCAACGGTATCAAGAATGGTTGACATACTCGTAATGTAGACATCAAACAACCCCTTTATGCAAGTTTTCAGCTGTTTTGGTGCCGAATGACGCTAGCACTAGAAAGGAATGTCATATTCGTGATTGGTGTATGAAAAGTCAATAATGTCATATTTCCGTCTCTCCCTTTTGCCATGAACGTTCACTTATCACAACGAGTGACAGATCACAGAAACTCTAAAATTTGAAAACATCAGTGCCAGTTATCAGAGCGGTCATCTTGAAAGTACCCTTCCTCCAGAAATTTGGCGCTTAGCCCTGAGTCGTTCCGATTTGTTTCTGCTGTTTGCAATGGTATGAGGCAGCTTTTGTTACGGCCTGATGTTCTACTTGCTTTCATTGTTCTTTCGCGCAGCACACCTGTGAGATCATTCGTTCCACGCGGGACTTAAGGGTTGCTGAATTTCCTTTCCCAAATGCTTCCCGACTTCCGACAAATCCTCGACAATCCAAGGAAGCTGTCGGTGTCTGGCTGAAACTCTTGCCACAGACTATTCCTTTCTTTTCTTCCGGTGGAGGCACTTCTACTGTTCTCATCATATCGTTCTTCCTATTCTCAACATTTTGTAACACAGCTTTCCAACTTTTCTTCCAAGCCTTTGCATGATATTCTCAACACACCGAACTGTAAAGGAATGGGAAGAGAAGAGAAAGAGTGTATTTCACACGGAGAAGTAGCACATCCATGTCGGGGTAAAGGAAATGAATTTTACAAATGGTATCACTTGCGCACCATTCCACCAGTACCCAACTAGTTGAACGTGTCAAGACCGACAGTGTTCCAACTCAACTACCTAGGGGGCACTCTTCTAATTTGCGTCCAGTACCACGTTCAGGTGTCCTGATCATCAAACTTCTTCCGTTGTGACCGTCAAAATATCTTCTTATGAGTTTTTGATGGTAAAAGCTTTTTCCGTTTGATAATTGAGTATTTCTAACTCACGAAAAAATGTGTAGTAATCACTGTAGAAGCAGAATGAAAAGAGTTTGGGTGGTTCTATGGTCGTTTGTTCATATAAGGTGTATAAAATATTTCAGCTATGCTTGCATTGTATCGGCCGCTGAAGCTTTCGAGGTTGATGTGGTCGTTGTGCTCGATCATGAGCGCCTTTACAATGAACTTCAACGGGATTTGCCTACCTTTGTCAAGGTATGTAATCATTGACATATTGTTTTCAGATTGATCCTATTTTTAACCTTCCACTTAGAAGGGTGGTGATGAGATTGAGGAGCATTAGAAGAATCTTTCACTCTGCAATTGGCCTGTGGAAGGGAGCGCATCTCATCTTGTTGCGAGCGCTTTTCCTCTATCTTTAGCGCCACTCATTCAAAAAGGGTCATGACTGAAGCAAATACTTTTCGATTTTGCCTTAACTCCCTTGAGTTTTCAAGCAGAATCCCAGTTCTAAGAATTGAGAGTGCACTCATACTTTGCGTCAGCGTTTTGAGCTTTCACCAGAGTATGCCAGCTTTTGAGCATTACGCAGGCAATTTTCAACTGTTTGCGGGCAGTCGCTGAAAACGCTGGTGAACGTGCAACACTAATCGATATTAATCGCTCGAAACGCTGCGGCACAGCTACATCGATACCTCTACTTGCCTAGTAGCTCAAGACGCTGCATGCTCAAAACGCTGAAGCGAAGTCTAAACGCAGTCTCACTCGTTTGTTACGTCCTTGTAGTTTGGGACTACATTTGGCCTGATTTCTGGCTCGTACTCCTCCTTCTTATTAATTTTAGATTCACAAGACCTAAAATACGAGTCCAAAAAATAAAGGGAATTCTAAAAAAGGTACAAACAAATTCTTCGATAGGGAAAAGTACTGGTTGATTGGGGGATGGAATTGCAGGAAGGGTTTGGACAGTCAGAGTCAGAGTCATATTCATGTCGTTATTCTTTAGATTCTCCATCAACCGAAGTCTGGTGGAGTAGAGACTCGTTCCCGTCAATCACGATTAGCTGCTCGTAGTGCATCAATACACAGGGTGTGTTCTTTCTTCGTTACACTCTTCGCGCTTTTATTCTTCCAAGTTTTAATCAGAATCTTTTGTTCAGTATTTCTATGGTGTGCATTCCAACCCTTATTACCCATTCACCTACGAAATGAATTTTGCCGATGTTATTTTCTGTAAAATTGGCACCGAAAAGTTACCTGAGTCATGTCTTCCGTTTGGATCGAAGGTGGAGGATCACCAGACGAAGGTATGACTAGTGTTTTATGTTTAGCAGATCAGTCTCGGAATAGCACCAAGAACTCTTCAGGTTGTTACCATCAGTCCAAGTGCGGACATGGCACACAGGATGTTTGCAGTCACACCTTGCCCTACCGTATCTCAAGCTGTTCTAAAAGCAAGCGTGCTAGGCTTCGTCGTGATTACTGAGGTAATTTGTTTTACCTTATATTTCTCTGTTTCCTTGTCGCTAGCAAGACTGGTCAGGGCTTTCGAAATTAACGCTTAGCTAGAGCGCATCATTAGTTGGGGAATTTAGTCGATTTCGCACGACCCCGTTGCTTGATACGACCTCCTCCAGTCCCCTCCTCATCGAGATCGGGAAAAGCCGAAAGGCGAATAAGCCCCTTACACCATCCCACCCACCGCTTTCTCGAAAACATTCCTATTTTCCCCAAAAATTTTGCTGTCGATTGGGGGGCGGGTGGGTTTACTCCGTATAAAACAGGAAAAACCACGGAAAGTCAACAACCTCTCTCAGAAAGGCAGAAGACCAGTTCGACCGCTTTTCCAACAACGAGCAAATACGACCCCGTCTCCCTATAGCGTCCCTGAAACAGGAAAAATCAACTATCAAAAAATTTTTCTCAGACCACGTACGACCCCCCTCCCGCCAGCGACTAATTACGCCCCCGCTGGCAACGATGATGTGCCCTGGTCTTAGCACATAGACATGAGATTCCACCATATGGAATTTCGAAACCCTTGGCAAGATAAAGAGAAAGTTCATCATTTGCAGATCAACATGGAAGAAAAACGCCTGAGTGTGTTGTGCCCTCAAAGTTCGTTGTCCCATAAAGTGCTGGTCTGGACAGAAATCACGTTTTTGGACGACCAAGTCACGAGAACTGCTGAGTAGTTCAATAACTGTCTAGATTTTCTATTGATGTCGGTGTTAAGGTTTTATTGGTTGGTTTTTTGCATGTAAATAGTGTATTGTATATACAGTTGTTGCCTTTTTGATTCCACACTTCGTACCCTACCGCACGTGACTCGTGATTTCGCTTTGTTTGACTAAGTAGCCGCTACTGCATGTCTGTTACTACTGGGTAGTTTGACTAAGATTGTATTTGGTGGTGATGATGAGCTATTGTTGTTTTCAACGCTTCGGGTAGCTTCTTTTACTTTCTGAATATGCCGTTCCTATCAATAAATATTACGGTCAACCCAGAACTTGTGTCTTTCACTATACGGCGGATTCGCAAGCTTACATTTGTTGTGCTCAATTGGCTTGGCTTGCGTAAGCTTCACAATCAGGTTGAGGTGGAAATCACTCAGAGAGTTTGTTTGGGCTGCACAGCTGCAGATGAGGGGTCGACTTGCAGAAGCTGGAAATCTTGGTGAACAGCGAAAGGAACTGAAGGACCTACTCTGATTCCGTATGGTGAGGGACTATTCTTGTTCATGATAAGAAGGCATTTTACATTCAGCAGAGTTAGATTATATGCAGTAAGGGTTCTTGTTCTAGTGTACTGAAAATATGAAGGGTTGATTGTTTATGTAGGTGTCATAACCACTACTTACTGACTGAAATTAAGTCTAGTTCGAGAAATTTTCTTTACGAATGATATAGAGGGAGTCAAAGTGGGTGTTGATATCATTTTATCTTCGCATCGGAGCTTTTTCAAACCGGACGCTTTTCAAATCAGACTGGAACTTGCCGTCTATTCCGCATACAGAGAGGCTCCTGCAGATTGTTGTAATCTGTGAAGTTGTATAGTAATCCAATCGACTGGCTGGAAATACGCAAGAGCAATAAAATACCAATTAAAAAACAGTAGATGCATGCAGGGAAATCTCAGACTCATAGATAGGAAGTCAAGATTAGGCGCGAAGGGCCGTCGCCACTAACACTGCCACTTCCTGCAGACACAATACTGCAAGAGCTCCGGGATACCAGCCCAGAAGCCCGTCCAACATTGCCGACTTCCGCCCCTAGCTTTTCGAGGGGTTCCAACGAGTGACCAGCTAGATCAGATTGCACAATAAAAAAGGAAATAACATCAACACTGTTGTTTACACCTGGAACATTTCCTCTTACCCTGAGGTTACCCACGATTGGTGTAAATGAAATAAACTGTTGTCCGGGCAGCGATGCTACTTTTGGCCGTTTGTTTGATATGAGGAGCCCAGGTGGCTAGTGGACGCCGTAATAGGAGGAAACTGTAAGCAGTGCCCTAGAGAGAAGGCGGAACGTTTTGAACAAATACTCCAGGTTAGGTTCTCAGGAAGCATGAAAACCCTTTGCAACTGGTTTAGCTGCTTCTGGCCTTCTGCCCTTGACTTAGGCAAAATTCTCTTTCGTTTGGCTCATAAACTGCCGTCGAGCGGGCGAGCGGTAGACATGTCTGGTCGCGTATCGAAGCCCGTCGAGTGTTCCCCTACGCAAATCTGAACCTGTTGTTAGCACCTTCTAGCACTTTCCAGATTGCCGACATTGTAAAAAAGGCATAGAAATTAAGCTCATAGTGGAACGTCTCAACTGCAAACAACCACACCATGAAGAGTATGAAAGTGGTACCATTACGTAGCTTCACAGCCCAGGACCTTACGAAAATCCCCCACTTCCAAAGGAATGGCGCTAGGGTTGGAAGCATCCAAAGAGGACCAGCTCTGTTGGAAAGTGGTCTTGTTTGATTCGAAAACTTTGGAAAAGAACATCCTGCTAATTTCCAAAACAATATCCTATTCCCATAGGATTCGTCAATGGATTTCGCTCCAATCGATGCGGGCAACATTCGATCTGTGAAAAACCTTCACGCAGGAATCTTCCCAGTGTTGTATTCGGATAAATTCTTCGAGCAGGTATCATTCACTGTTATTCATAAAGCTGTTTAGAAAGCTGCTTTTTCGTGAAATCTGCCGACTATCGGTGGGTAAATTCGTTATACTAACGTATCAAGAATTCAATGTCACAGTCAGGTCAACCACAAATTTGTAGTGATGGCGTCGAATTACTGTTGGCGTGATAACCATTCTTTTAGATTGGAAAAAAGTCCTGCGACACTGCGATTATATTGCTCTACATAAAAAAGCAAAAAACGATTTGAATGCTTGTACCCTGATTAGTTTTTGCGGACGGGTATATTGAAGCTTCGTGAAAGCTTTCAAGGCTCAAAAGTTTACCGGATGTCGAGGTGCTTTTCGACATATCCCAGTATTATGAGGTTTCTGTAGGGTCACTCCGCCGGAGTCGAGTGAGCTAACACCTGCGTTGTCTTTGCGAAGGACGTCGCTTGCCATGCCACAGTGTTCCTATTCGTATTATCGCTTGTAATTTGGAGTTATTTCATTCGAATGTTGGAAAGGTCGGCCATCAGCACAGAATGACGGCCGTTTACGCACTCCCTGATGGCACAGTCAAACGGTAGCCGCCAGTAAGTTGGCAACTTCTCTAGGCTGCACCCAAGTATCAATTGCCATGCTTCTCCGTAATTTGGGTTAAAAGGAAAATTCTCTGCGGAGCATGCCACAGAGTTACGCCATTCAGAGAAAGCGCACCAAATGGTCGTGAGTTGGTTTTCTCTTGTATGTAAACAATGGAAGGACTTTTTATGAGATATTCTGACTGGTATCGAGAACTGGGTTCTTGCGTAAACCATGCACATAAACTCCACAGCACTGTCAAGGAGTAAATTGTGTCTGCTTAGCCAAAAGCAGGTATGTATGGAAAAAGTTTTCGCTGTGTTACTGGTGGGACTTCAAAGCGATGCCGCTGGATACAGCACAGCTATGAGGACCACAGTCTCTAATCAACTTCAAAACAAAGCAGGATGACGCCACCCTCAATTTCTTCAGAAAATTCAGTTTCGTTTCTAGCTCATGATAATGCGAAGACGCAGTGGCGGGATGGCTATCCCAAAGATTATGGATCTTGCATCAGAGAATGCTGCCATACTCAAGCCACTGTTACTGTTACTGAAATAACTCTTCGAAAAGTGAGGTCCAAACTCTTCCTTTCCATCGTAGTTGCTGTAGTTCTTTTTAAGATTGGTATGTGTGCAAAAGGTGGGAACTTGTCCTGGTCATCAATGGTGATCACCTTTCAGATTGGAAGTGTTATTTAGTGGAGGGAATTTGGTTCGAATTTTCAGTTAGAGAGTGTTGCAGCACTTGTTTTCCAACCTCGTAGTTTTCTTTCTTTTCGTTTATACGTTTTGGCGACATTACGGAAATCTAGGACATTCAGGGTTTGATATTCTTGGGCAAAATTGGTTAGAGACGGAAGCGTTATCGCTTACGAAACTGACGTATATTTCGGTATTTCAGGCTGTTTTTTTCAGATTCTAAACAACGATCTATGTGTTGCTATTATGGTAGGTGAAACATGCGTTGGAGTGGTATGCTGTAAATTTGAAATAGTCGGTTGTACAAAGGCTCTTTACATCATGTCCCTAGGAGGTATGTAGACCTTGCAGAGGAGATCTCCATTTATATCCTTTTCCAACTAGTCATTCGAGCTAACGATTTTAGTTCATCCCCTGTATCGCTGCCGTGGAATAGGTGCACAGTTGGTCAATTTTGTGATTTCTAAGGCCGTCAGCCATTGTGTTTCTGTGATCCGACTTCATGTTCAGGTAATTGCTACATACGTACGCTGTCATGTTAGGGCTTTTGCAGTGGTGATGTTTTGATGAGCGCTGTCTTTTGTCATACACCTGAAAGAGTCATTTGAATTTACCAGCAGTCATTACTGGCGCAGTCAAATGCATAAGCACCAGTGCTGTTCATTGGTGACCAGAATTTAAAGACACATTCCACGACTGCGGGTCGTCTACAGTTTGCCTCAGAAGCAATTGGTTTGATAAACCCTTAGACGAATAGGATTAATACACCTGGCAGTACGGACTTCTGCGACCCTGAGCAGCGCTGCATAGCGCCTTTTCCAAGGAGGGTACCCTTACAGACCCTATAAAGCTACAACATATCAACCCAAACGCCGCCGCCCACAAATGGACGACCGTACCTGATGCTCGTATTGCTTCATTTGCTAAGTAAAATATGAAGCGAAGGGATTGGTATGAAGCGGCTGCGGTGCTGCATGGATATATGAGTACATACGTGCAGCCGTTACCGTAGCGGTTATTGGCAAGATGCCTACGGGAAACTCGTCCGAAATTGCTTTTCGAGTCATTAAGAACGAAGGCTTTTCTTCGCAGGTTTTTGACCGTTTCACTTCGTTTTTTCGCCATTTTCCCACTATAAAGCTCTTACTATATTATCGTGCCAGCTGTCTTTGAGTATTAATCCGTAGCTGCTAGTTGACCTTTCAGTGAAGAAAAGAACTGAAGGAAGCGTGGGGAACGCTTTCAATAAGGTCCACCTAACATTTTTTTGAGCATTAGAGTTTACAAAGATCGTAAGGACGACGAAACAGGAACAAGGAGAGAACAACCGGGTGAAGTTACCGCACATACCAGAAGTGCGCGAAAATTGATCTCATTATGGACTTGGACACCTTATACACCCAACATCCCGGCGATGGAGGGGGGCGTAGCTGGTATTTCATTTCAATGTGGCCAGGACACTGATGCGCGGTGTTCTGACAGGGTATGTCGTCGTTTTGTACGATTGTATCTGTGTCATTGACTACCACAGGGAACAGGATGACAGTTGTCGCAAATGAAACTACCCCACGAAAAACGCATGCTGCGCCATGTTCAGATAAAGCAATCGGCCATGCCCACTCCGTCTCCGGGATATAAAGTGTATGCTTGTGGTAGAACTTCTAGCTCTCAAGTATAAGGTTGGAAGGAAGAAGTCCTGTCAGTATTTTTCGAAAAGCCTACCCGTTTCTGTTCTTGATGCTCGAACATGATGTAACATGCCATGCTTGTAAAACATTCTAGGAGCCTTCCTGAAAGAGTTGTATG